GCCTCCCAAAGTGCTGGGCTTACAGGCTTGAGCCACCGCGCCCGGCCCACTTTTTTCTTTTTTGTATAGAGATGGAGTCTTGCTATGTTGCCCAGGCTGGTCTCAAACTCCTGGGCTCAAGCCATCCGCCTGCCTCACCTTCCCATAGTCCTGGGATTACAGATGTGAGTCACCATGCCAGCCTGCTTTTACTTTTTTTTGATTAACTCTGTTTTCAGGATTCATCCTTATCACTACATATAATCTAATTCATTGCTTATAACTGCTACATAGGATTCCATGGTAGGCATCCATTATACTTTGCTTACCCATTCCTGACTTCTATACACAATGCCAGACAGTTATCTCTTACATAGTCCCCTGTGAGCCAGTTCAAGAATTTCTCTGGAACATATTCCTCAGAGTGGAATTTCTGTGGTAAGGTATGTGCATGCTCAATTTTACTAAGTAGCATCAGATTATTTTTCAGAAAATCTGTAGCTATAAACCGGGCATGGCATGCACTTGTAGTCCCAGCTTCTCAGAAGGCTGAGGTAGGAGGATTGCCTGAGCCCAGGAGTTTGAAGCCAGCCTTGATAACATGGTGAGACATTCTTTAAAAAAACCTGAAAAACAAAACAAAACAAGAAAACCCAGGTCTGTAGATGTTTACAGTATCAACATTATTACTGTCAGTTTTTATTACCTCAGACCCTTCCCAACACTTAATATTATACAACTCTCTAATATTTGCAATTCTAATGTGTATATTAAGTGTACTCTTAGTTATTTAAAATTACATTTCTCTGATTACTAGTGAGTTTGAGTGTTACTTCATATTTTTTTTTTTTTTTTTCTTGAGATGGAGTCTCACTGTGTTGCCAAGGCTGGGGTGCAGTGGCATGATCTTGGCTCACTGCAACCTCAGCCTCCTAAGTTCAAGTGATCCTCCTGCCTCAGCCCCACTAGTAGCTGGGATTACAGGCATGTGCCACCATCCCCAGCTAATTTTTGTATTTTTTATAGAGACAAGGTTTCGCCTTTTTGGCCAGGCTGGTTTCCAACTCCTGACCTCAGGTAATCCACCCACCTTGGCCTCCCAAAGTGCTGGGATTACAGGCGTGAGTCACTGCACCTGGCTATTTCATATTCTTATTAGCCAACAAAACTTCCTCCTCTCTGAAATACCTATTCATATCCTTTGTGCTATTTTTATTTTGGATTCCTGTCTTTACTTTTGTTCCTTCATAAGATTACACTATATTATGAATATTAATCCCACATTCACTTTTTAAAAAATTATTTTATTTTATTTTATTTATTATTGTTACTTTTTGAGATGGAGTCTTGCTCTGTCGCCCATACAGTGGCCCGACGTCGGCTCACTGAAACCTCCACCTCCCGGGTTCAAGTGATTCTCCTGCCTCAGCCTCCCAGGTAGCTGGGATTACAGGCACACGCCACCACGCCAGGCTAATTTTTGTATTAAGGTTCTTCAGAGAGACATAACCAACTGGATAGATGAGAGGGGATTTATTAGGGAATTAGCCACATGATCACAGAGGCAAAATCCCATGATAGGCTCTTTGCAAGCTGGGGAACCAGAGAAGCTGGTAGCATGGCTCAGTCCAACTCCAGAAGCTTCGGAGCCAGGGAAGCCAACAGTACAACCCCCTAGTTGGAGGCCAAAGGCCTGAAGATCCCTGAGAGGCCACTGGTGCAAGTCCCAAAGTCCAAAAGCTGAAGAACCTGTAGTCTGTTGTACAAGAGCAGGAGGAGAAAAAGCAGATTGCTCTGGAAGGGAGAGTTTGATAATTCCCCCACTTCTTCCTGTTTGTTCAAATCCACCCCAAGCGGTTAGATGATAC